CGGGGGGCCCCGCGGGGGCAGGTCGCGGCACAGCCCGGGTCAGGCCTACTGCAGCCCCGAGCTGCGGGGCTCCGCCCGGCTGCGGAGATCCGTGCAGGGGAGGCACTGCCAGCGGCCCCGGGACCTGGGACCGCGGGTGGAAATACCCAGAGGAGCGTGGAGGCGGGGTGCGGCTGCGGAGGCCGAGCCCCAGGCTGAAGGGGACGATTAAGGCAGGCAGAGTCCCTCTTGGCGGGTGCACAGGGGTTGCTTCATGCCTGCTTTTGCCACTTCAAGGTGGCATCTCTTTATCTTGATCGATCCTGCCAGCTGCAGAGTGCAGATGGGAGAGCAGAGGTGCTGCCCTGGGCAGGTCAGCTGCGGTGAGTCTCCAACACGTCCTTTTTCAGGCTGTCTTGCCTAAGAGTGTCCAGGCTTGTGTACGGCCGTCATTTCAGGAGTACAAAATATGTGTTCACAGTTCACTCTAACTGCATTCACTTGCCCTCTTTCCAGTCTGGGCTCTGCTGAGATTATGGAACAGCTGAACTGCCTGGGCTTCCCACCTAATTGCTTTTTTTTTTCCAGAAAAGTCCTAATACTTAACTTGCAGCTAGTTGCTCAACTCACTGGTGAGTGATTCACTCTTGGCAGTTCTGAGACAAAACATCGGCTGCCCGGTGTCCAAAGCTGAACTGCAAAATGTAGGTTGCCCTCACTTGTTAACTGCATGAGTTAGAAAGGTTATAATGCCACCACAGAGAGGTTGCAGGACCTAATGGGTAATGTACAGTTGTGATCAAATGCCCATTCCAGGAATTGCAGTGCTGAGCTGACAAGAATAAGTTTCCATTGATGACGCAAAAATAAACACAGGCTCTTAAGGGGAGGAGAATTCCCAGACGAAAAACGAACCCCACTTGCAGTAGCCTGGCATGCAGCTGCAGAAATAGATGCATATCCAGGGGGGTCGGCAGCCTGCCTCCTTCCCAAGTAGAATTGCCTCTCCTGGAGATGCCAACAGGAAATGTCACCAAACAGAAACTTCCCTGTTTAAAAAATAATCTCTTGGGCTGTGACACAGGTTCAGACCTGGGAGCAATGGCTTAGGGAGGCTGTGTTTCTCTGCTCCCTACTTCCCTTTTTGGCCAGTTTGGGAACTGAAAAGCCAGTGGTAAATCACACTGTTGCCACTGGTTGGTTTCTTTCTCTGCAGGAGAGCTTTCTCACACCCCAGGAAAGAAACTGTCTTTGCAAATACTTCCTGTGGTGACATCTTGGCAGATCTGCTTGGAAGTCCTCAGCCAGGACTAGTGTCATGCCTGTGCCAAGGACAGGTGTCAGCTTCAAAGCCTGGCCAAGCCCAGAGACTGTCTGTCTCAAAACATCTTAGGGCTATTTGAAATGCATGCCCAGATTCCCCAAGTGCTCTATTGAAATGCAGAACCTGTCACAAGCAGAGTTACGAGTTGCCCCTTCCCTGGCTTGGGCATTTGCTGCAGAAGATCTCTCCACTGTGCCTGCCACTGAGTGCCTGCCAGCACTTCCTCCGCTGTGTGTTCCCCTTGGTTTCTAGACGCTGCAGTGGGATTTGGCAATTCCCAGCCTATGCTGGAACAGCTAGAGAGACAGGGTGTGCATGTACGTGTGCTGTGTCCATTATCCCAGCAGGACACAAAGGCTCTGCACAGCTTCTGTCTCTCACTTTGTGGTGTGTTTCTGCCTCGTTCAGGCAGAGGTGGCTGAGCTGTGAGCAGAGAATTGGTTTATGGGATTTGCAGGCAGAAGGTGAGTGGGGAAACGTACTGACTGACTCCCCTGCAGCCTGGATCTGTGGGTGCTTGGCAGAACGGAGCACAGTTAACTCTCCCTCAGTCCTAGCTTTGCCCTCATGCTCCATCCTCCTTGTCGAAGTGCAATGATGAACTGGGATTTTTTTAGGTTCTGAGGTCTCTCAGTTCATTGAATATCAGTGTCTCAGCCAGGGCAGAGTAGAGCAGGACAACCCTATTCTTTTCACTAAGGCCTGATGAATGCAGTCATTCCCTCATTTTGATGTGAAACCTTCAAGGGTGCTTTGGCCTGCCCAAAGCCCTCCCCTGGCGTAGACAGTCTCTAGGCTGACGTGCTTGCTCAGTAGAGGGATTGGGCCCGATATGCCCCCATGTGATTGCAAGCAGAACCTTGAACCTTAAAGATCCCTTGTGCTGCTTTTTTTCTGTTCGGTGTCTGAACATCCAGTGCATCTCTATCTTGGCACCATATGGGACAACTAACTTTGATTGCATGCATGGCTCTTCTTGTGTGTACCACACCTAGCACAGCCAGTCCAGCTGCAGACCGAGGCTCCAGCTGCCCTCACAGGAGAGCTTAACTCCCATCCTCAGCAGCAGTGTTGGGACTTATTTCCCTTTTAAAGGGGTCTGTGCTCAAACCCCCATGGGATAAAGTTGGCTGAACATAGCAAGCTGAGGACCCATCTCTAGCTATGCGTTTAGGACTTTCAGACTTGACTTGACTTGACTTTCAGAGCCAGTACAAAGGGTATGTGTTGCCAACCCTAAGCCCTTCTAGGGATAGGATGTTGGGGTGGAGAAAGGCGGTCCTAAGACCTGGGAGGGCTGTCTCTGGGGTGGGCTGTCATTTGGACTTCTAGCAGAAACTGTTTGCGCTGGCTGTGTATTGCATGTCCTTGAGGACCCGTAACACTTACCTGCTGTAAGCCAAATGCTGAGATTTTTCTGATCATGGCAGAAACGTGTCTCTACTGTGCCAGGATGTGGGAGAGGAGGTGGAAAGGTGATTCTGTTCAGCATCAGAAATGCTAAAAGTGCCAGTGAGGGCAGCCTACCACTCTCACTAGCAGGGTGAAAAGGGCTTCTTCAGTTCTGAATGGGGGGTTTAGGGTGCTGTTTTTAGAGCTGCTTTTCTCTGAGATTTCTAGAGCAATGTATTCTTAGTAACTTTTGGAAAATAACTTTTCGCTGAGGCTTTGGGAGGTCAACTGCCCCTGTGTTTGGGAGCCCTGTTGCACTTGGTGCTGCACAAACGGCCAGAGTGTGCCAGGTGCTGCTCCAAACTGAGGTGGGGTGGGAAACTCCCATGTTTTCCAAAACACCTCTCTGCTTTTAAGTTTGAAAGCAAGGCTTGTTTGACTGACCAGTCAATCTCCCCCTCAGTAACCCGTGAGCTCTTTGGCCTGTTGGAAGGCAAAGATCTCAAAGATACAAGATTCCTCATGGTTATGTGAAATACCCTGTGCAGAGACCCAAAAGCTAATGCCACTGCAAACATCTGTGTTGTAAGCACAGCCCTATTAGACATCTGAGGCTCCACCTGGGAGAAGCTGCTGGCAGGCAGGTTTGGGCTTTCCCTGCATTGGGGTGTCGCTGTGCAGTTACTAGAGCGGCAGGGACTTGTCAGGGCAGGCAGTGCCCAGGCTTGGGCTTATGCTTGGGTTCTGCCCACAGCATCACTGCCTTCACAGAAGCCTTGCAGGTGCACAATGTGCTGCCACCCATCTACCTGGATGCCTCGCAGAGCTGGGAGACATGGGGTGGCACCCAGCCTGGCACCCTGGACCTCGTCATCAACATCAACATGATGCACATCTCAGAGCTGCCGTGCACGGAGGTAAGCAGAACCCTGGGGCTGCCCAGTCTCTCCCTGCCTTGCCAGCCCTGGCTGCTGTGCCACTGAGCCTGTGGCTTGTGCCCAGCTGCCCCTTGGAGCTCTGAGGCCCTCCCAAGAGGGTTTTTCAGGCCAGCCTGGCTGGAGGGACTCTGATACTTCCCCATGCCTGGGCTGCATGTTTAGGAGGGCTCAAGGTGATGACTGCAGTGTTCTGGGTTGGGAACTCCGTTCAAAACCAGATCCCACCATGTCCCGTGTCCAAAGAGTCTCTGTCCTCATTGGGGCACATCAGTCCCAGGATGCTGGCTGGGCTGACAAGGGAAACTGAGGCTGGAAGACTGGTGTGGCCTGCCTTTGGTCTTGGCTCCCTGCCCCAGGCCTTACCTCAAACCTGTGTAAAACCATGGGCCATGGTGGATGGTGAGCCCTTGGGCTGGTTCCCTGCCAGCTGTGCTTCCATTCAGGCAGAGAAGGGAATTCCAGTCCAGGGCTGAGAACTGGGAGGGTTGGAGGGGAGATACTAGTTGCAGAGATGGATCCACTTTCATCCTCCACTCAATTTCTTGAGAAGTCCCTGTCTCCTGGTCTGGATTACCCAGGGCTGAGGAGAGGGGACCCTGATGGGATATCTCTGGCTGGCTGACCTGACCCATGCCTCTCTTTCCCCAGGGCCTGTTCAAGGGAGCAGGAGTGTTGCTGAAGCCCAGAGGTGTGCTGTTCACCTACGGGGTAATTGCCGGTCCTGCTGGTCAGCGGAGGCCCTCTTATTAGCACTCCGTGGCCATTGCTGGGAGCACCCAGCTGGGATGAGGAGCTGGCCCTGAGGGCATCAGAACTTGGCACTGCCTCTGCTCACGTGGCAGAGAAGGGAGGGCAGCACTGGGCACTGCTTGTGCCAGGGAAGGGGGTGTTGGGGGTGTGAGGGCAGGGAATAGAGCTTTGTGGGCATGCAGTCATCCGGGGATGGGGCTGGCTTGGCCGTTAGCCCGCCTGAGACACCCTGCCTGAAAGGGATGGCCCAAAATGCTGATCCTGGCCCCTCAGGACCATCGATCCCATCTCTCCCAAATGCTCTGCTGAGGCGTAGGCCAACTTTGTCTGCCAGGGGTGGCTGATGTTTTCAGGGTCTTGTATCCTGTCCCAGGCCCTGTCCTATCCTGCTTGACCACTGTGTGTCTGGAGGGCAGAGTGCCAGCACCCTGGTGGTTTGGGCTCTCCCTCACCCTCTTGTCTGGTGCATGAAGGACAGGCTGTGGTTTGCGGGAAGCATGGGTTGGAGGGACTGGCAGAGAGCTGTTGCTTGAACCCACTGCTCCAGCTTTGTGTCTCCTCAGCCATATGCCATTGGTGGGCGGATCAGCCCTCAGAGCAACGTGGACTTCGACTGCAGTCTGAGGCAGAGGTAGGAGAGGGGAGCAGGGCCCTGCATGGGAGGCTGTGGGCCCAAACAGTCTGCCCTGGGGCCTGCAGTGGGCATCGCCTGGCCCATCTTGCCCAGGCTGACCATTGGGCACAGGACGCCCCGTGCCCCTTGCTCTTGATGCCCAGCTTCAGAGAGCAACCAAGCATGTTCTTCTAAGAAGAGGCCTAAACTGGAGGCTGGGGGCAGCTCCACAACATCGGGGGGGCATCCAGTCCCATGGATGAGAGGGATGATTCGGAGAGAGCCTGAGGGTGAGGTCTGCTCCCTGGCAAGATGTTATATCTGTCTGTCTGACACATGGCTCTCTTTTTGATAGGAATCCGGCCTGGGGCCTTCGGGATACAGATCTGTTGCAGCAGCTGGCTGAAGCCAATGGGATGTGTCTGGAGAGGATGGCAAGTGTCCCTTATGGTCTGGAGAGGATGGGAGGGACGATATTTCTATTTGTGTGGTCCCCTATGACCTGACTCTGAGCTTTGTGCTTCCAGGTGGACATGCCTGCAAACAACAAATGTCTTATTTTCCGCAAGCAGTAACCTGCTGACCCTCTGCCTTTTGCTTCGCTGTGGCTCTAGCATCCCGCAGTCTCCAGGTGGAAGCTTTCCTACCTTTGTGGCACCCTCCGGGCAAGGCCAATCCTGCATTTCCATCTTTGATGCCTTCTTGATGGTTCAAACCGCCCACACCCTGTTCTTTTGGTGCCAGGCTGGAGCTTCCCTGGCAGCCCGGAGTTGGGCAGAAGCAGCAAAGGGACAGTGCCACAGTCACCCTGGGACCACGCTGGACTTGGTTGATATTCTCAGGGTCCATCTCCTGTTCCTCCCCGCAGAGCGGAGGAGACCAGCTCTGGAAGGGCAGGAGGTTGGCGAGGGGTTCAGCCAAAATGGGCTTGTGGACAAGGTAGGGTCTTCTCCCAGGGGCTTTAGGTGTGTATGGGGCTGATGGCCAGCTGATGGACTTGGAGCCCTCTCTTCCTTCCCATCTCAGAGTGTTCCCTCCTGCCAGCCATGATTCCAGGCTGGAGGGGGGGGGGACTTGAAAAGAAAAATAGAGCTCCCCTGGCCCTATCATTTTCTGGAGAAAGACAGATTTGTTCACTCCAGCCTGTGCCATTCCGCCTTTCCATCTCCAGCTATAGGTTCTCTTTTGCATCCCCTTTGCAAGGGAGATGCCCTTTTATGGGCCACAAAAGCCACCACCACTGCCACTGTGGCCTCTTAACATGGGCAGCACAGGCTAGGGGGGTAGAGCATAGCCTGTGCAAGGGAAACCTGTGGTGTTTGTGCCTCAGTTTCCCTCTCTGTACAACAGAGAGAAGCCGTGTGTGTCTGGGAAAGTGCTTTACCAAAGGTGCAAGGAATCTCTTCCCCTTTCTAACACTATGGAAGTTCACCAGATTCTGGCTTGAAGTCTAGCTGCAGCCCAGCTTCCCCAGGCCAGGCTACTGCAAGCTACCCCCTTCCACCTGGAGCCAGTTACTAGAAGGGCATCTCCCTCCATCTCCCCCTTTCCCAGCACTGAGGTTTGGGGGGCCCTTCAGCACCCTTGCCCTAATTACCCCCATCTGGTGCATTGCGTGGCCATGTTACAACATCGAGGGGAGGCAGAAGGCTTGCTCCAGGAGAGCCTGGGTTGTATTACACTGGGCTTGGAAGCTTTAGTGCTGTGGGAAGGTTGTGGGGGGCTGGAAGACCTCCCACCCCTCTACAGCCTACCCCAATCTTTTATTGGTAGTGTCTGGGCTGGAAGGGTACGCAAGGAAGGCACGCAGACAGATAAATTACAAGGGAGTTGGGCTGGACCAGAGCTCAGCATAGGAGAGGGAATTACAAAATGATAATAATTACTAAATAAAAACATTGATCTGTGGGATCTGCCAGACTGCTTCCCCCCTCTTGAGGTCAAGTCTATAGCAGTGCATGTGGCTGGCCAGAGAGGGTGCCTGGGGTGACACCTGCCTTCATGTCTGTGTCCCTGCTGCCCCCTGCCCTCCCCTAGTCCTGGAACCTGTTCAGCAGATCACAGGTTTTCTTCTCAATCAACTCATAGATTTTTTTCACACGTTTGTCATTGGCTGCTCGGACATAGCTGCTGGGGTCCAGCATGGCCATACCATCGTGTACCTCGCCCATGATGATGAGTGGGCCATCATCCGTGGTCATGTTGGGGCAAGGGCAGTTCCAATCCATGTCAGTCAAGGTCACTTCCAGGTATTTGATGTTGAAGAACTTGAGGCCCATCTTCTCATCCTTGAGGACATCTTCGAGGGCAAAGCGGGCGATGCCAGAGTCCTGATCCTCGATGATCTCCATGAGCCGTCCTACGATGGCAAAGTCACTACGGCACAAACTCAGCACCATCTTGTTCTTCAGGCGGCAGGTCTTGCACTGCAGGTTCTTGGGGAAGGGGCAGACATCCTCACAGGTCTCCTTGCTGTCAAAGTTGTTGTTGTTGCCTTCGCAACCACCATAGACAAAGGAATGGCACTGCTTCATGAGATGGTTATAGGCCCAGCGGGCTTCCCAGTTCTTACAGGGGCCTTGCACCATAGGCAGAAGGCAGGTGTGGACAGCATTGCTCACGCAGGCTGATCGGCACTCCTCGTATGTCTCAAAGTGGTTCTGGTTGGCTCCACAGCCACCATAGCGAAAGGTGAGGCAGGAGCCTTTCTTGGCATCAAAATGCCAGCGCACCTCCTGGGCTTCGCAGTCACGCTTGTCGGGTTCCTTGAGGCACTCAGTGTTGGGGAAGGGCTGGGTGCTGCCCAGCCGTGGCTCCCCACTGCTGGGCTCCCGTTTGATGACAGAGAGAGGGAAGTCGGCTCGGAGGAGCCCAGCAGAGTTCCTTGCAGTGCAGGTGTAGATGCCAGAGTCCTCATACTGAGCATTGTAGATGACCAGCTGTCCGATGTTTGTCACCACCACGTTCCCATACATCTGATCCGGTCTCATGATGAAGTTCTCCGCGTGGTCACTCTGCTTCTCCCATGTGATGTCAGGCTGAGGCCGTCCGCTGACGTCACAGTGGAAGCTGACTGTGCCGCCCATGTAGACGGACTGGTGGAAGGGGTTGTTGTAGAGGGCAGGGGGAATGGGCACCTCAGGGCCAGCCCCTGGCGTGGGGCGAGCTGTGGTCTCCTGGGGCACGGGGCTGGTGTTGGGCCAGGTGAAAATGTATTTGCATGGCACCATGGTGAGGCTGATTCCCCGGATGCAGGCCTCGGCGTCCATGTAGCACTTGTTATAGTAGGTGAGGCCATCTGAGGCGCAGGTGAAATTGGGCTCCTTCTCGCACCGGTCCTTGCACTTGCAGATGGGCTGCCCATCCCAGATGTCACAGTCTGAGCCCTGCTGTGTGCACACAAAGCTCTCACAGGAGGCTTCTTGAGATAGCTCCAGCGGCGAGAGACTTCCATCAGCAAAGCGAGCTGCCACACAGCTCTGCAGCCCACAGACATTGGTGCAGCACTTCTCAAACCCCTCACAATCCTAGGGCAGGGAGAAAGGGGCACACAGCAGCAGGGTTACATCTGCTGCACCAGAACTATTAGCAACTGCTCCTACCTATTACCAGAGTACAGCTGCTTCGGGGTGGAATGTGGAAGCACAGCTTGCAGCTATGCTTCACTACAGCTTTAGAACAGGAAGCTGCTCCACACACTGCAGAGAGGATAGTGTTTGATTTTTGCCCCGGGTTAAGAGCTCGGCATTTGGGCAGAAGCTGCATGAAGCTTAGGAGACCCCCCCTCCCCCCCCATACACACACACTTTTTACATTTCCTACGTACCCCACAACGTATGACTGGGAGGGAAAAGTGCCCCTGGTCAAATCCAGCACAGTGGCTCTCAGCACAAACAAGTTCTTTTGCCCCCTTGCCAGTCCTTGGCCTCACTTAGCTCTAGGTAAGAGCTGGACTATCCCAAAGAGGCTGTGCTAGTGCCAGTTTGAAGTTGGCCAGGTTTGGGCATTGACCACAAGCCTTTACTGACCATCACCGTTCCAGGATGGGTATGAGTGAATTGTAAGAGCTTGGGGCAAGGCTGTCCCATTTGCCTGCTGCAGACAGCCTTTTAGATTTCCCGAGATACAGTGCAAGCACAGCTGAGACCAGACTGCTGGACACATGAATCACCTCAGGAAGGACTTGGGGTGGGGGAGGGAGGGGAGTCATTCCAGTGACCGTGGTAGTGTTGGGCGGAAAAGCAGCACTGTCCACTGCTTCACCATATGTATGCTGACCTTCAAGGCAGGCTTGACTCAGGGAGTCAGCATATTCCCCACTGGCTCAGGGGGCAGCAGAGCTTATTGCAGAGATGAACAGCCAAGGAGCAGCTTTCTGGCTTTCATAATGGCTATCAGGGCAGAGAGGGGGCGCCCTACCCCTGCCTGTGGCTGTAGGTGGCCCAGAGCCTGGGCCACAGCGTGGTTCTGTGCCACTTCTCAGGCTCTTGCCTGCAGGGACAGCTGGAGCTATCCAAGTGGCGAAATTACTGCTCTGATTGGGGGGTGGGGGGGGGGGGGTGCAGAGCGGGGGTGCCCTGGCCATACCGGGGCTTTACTCTCCATGTGGTGGTTGGTTGGGGGAGGGGGGGAATTGGAAATAAACTATTTATTTGCTTGCTGCAGGGAGTGCTAGCAGCCCCAGGGCACAGATCATGCATGCTAAGAGCACAGGCAAAGAAGGAAACCACAGCCCTAAAGCCATATGTGGTCTTAGACATCCCTCCCCTTACACCCCCCACCCCCGGCAAAGGTCCCAGCCATCCTGGGGTGGAGGGGGGAGGAGGGCTGAGCACTAGGTCCCACTGAGCTACCCTGGGACATGCCAGTGTGGCAGGGTCATACTGCACTCTCAGTGTACTCCAGCTCACTTGCTGAGCAGGCAACGCTTGGTCGTCTCTGCAAGCCTCAGCTGCTCTATTGCCCCATGTTGTTAAAGCAGTTCATCTGTGGGGCAGGGTTGGGGGAGGGGGGAATCAGGGAGAAGAGAGCATCTTTGGGCATCTCTGTAACCACCTCTGCATGCTGTGGGCACTCCTAAGTGCACTGCTTGCTGGACACACCCACCCCAGGGCAGTAGGTGACTGTCCTGCAGCACCCAAAATTGCAAGTAGCACCCAGGTCCTTGCTGGGTGCCCAGTGCCCTCCTGGGTCTGTGTGCAGCACCCGCAGCGCCCCACTCACCTGGTCAGTGTGGCACTCCCGCTCACAGGTGCTCTGGGCGTCCACCCACAGGTTGGGGTTGAGCTGGTTGGGGCACACTCCCAGGTGCCGCATCCTGAGTGGCTGCAGGCTCAGCCCTTCTGCCACGGTGGCCAGCAAAGGCAAGAAGAGCATGACTAGCATCAGGTCTGCCCTGTCCAGCTGTTGCCTGCTTGTTTGCTTTTTTAATCTCTGGCCGCTGAAACTCCTGAAAGACATCTGGCTGCCCTGGTGCCCTGTGGCACTGGCTGCCCACTCCCTGCTTGGCAGATCCTTGCCTGGCTTGGGTAGCTCACAAATCAAATCACATGCAGGATGGAAGCTGGGGTGGGGGGAGGAGGGAAAAAAAAAAAAAGGCAAGTGAGGGGACAAAGAGGAGGAGGAGACGAGGTCCAAACCTCTGTGGTCTAGCACATCCAGCGCATGCTATATCTCCAGAGATGATGCCCGGCGCCTCCATCCATTGCTGATGCTGAGCTTGGCCAGCAGAAACTCTCAAAGTACTTGAAACACCATTGTGGAGCAGTGATGTCCTCAGAGAGGTCCCCAGGCATGTGCCTCCAGGTTGGTGTGTGACAAGAGCAGTTCATCCACCCCCCCCCACACCCCGAGTTCCTCCAGGCGCTTGTGGAAAGACTCAGTCCACCCCAAGCACCTCAAACTTCAGCCAGCTGGTTTCCCAAACACCCAGCTCAGCGGTGAGGCTGGGCGAAGCAGGAAGGCAGGGTGCAACCATGCACGGCGCAGGGCACCAAGTGGGGGGTCACACAGCACTCCTTGGCTTGCGTCAGGCACCACCATGCGCCTGGTGGAGCAAGCAGGCAGTGGCGCAGAGCCGGGCTGGTGCGTGTCTGGGGCAGGGGGGTGGAAGAGGAGGACGGGAAGGTTGTAATCTGAATCCCCTCCCTTCTCACTGATGTTTCTGGGTATTTGGAATGGAAAAGGCGCTGACCTCAGACTCTAACCCTGTCTGAGCTGATCGACTGGGCAAACACAGGGGGAAGATCAAAGGCAGAATGCAGAAAGTCTCCAAAGGGGGGGGGGAGGGGGGGAGCCTGGCCCATGCAGCTGAATTCCTTCAGGCTGAGAAAATTTTCTGTTGTCCCTTTGGAGCAGGCTTGGCTAGCCAGGCCTGGTGGCTGTGAGACAGGCTCTGCGCTCGTGCTTGCCCATCACAGCTTCTTTTGGGTTTGAAAAGCATTTTGGTTTAACTGCCAGTCCGTAGGGCTGGGCTGGAGGCAGCAAGCTCTGCAGGGAGGGATGCCAGAGTTCCTGGGGACAAGGCTGGCCTGGGAGGTGTTCCGCCCTACAACTCCGCCTTCTCCCCTTGGTACCAGGCTTGCAAAGCTCCCACTGCCTTCATGACCCTACAGCAAAGGCAGCCCCAGGGCTTGGAGCAAGCCACCTAGGAGCTTTCCCACCCTCCAGCTGAGGGAAGTTCACAGAAGCTGCTTGCCAGCTGTTCAGGAAGGGCACACTGGGAAGCAAAGCATCCATGGGAACGCTCTGCAGTCCCACTGCAGTTCAGCTGGATGCCTGAGCCCATGCCCGTCAGCCCACAGTGGTATCTCCTAGGTGCTTCAGCACAGGGCCTTGCCTCCTGGCAGCTTGCTGGCTCCAGCAACACAGCACAGTGGATATCCAGCACCCATGGAAGGTGCTAACTCAGCCTTGCACCAGCACCCAGGCCTCCCTCCCATGCTGGTGATACATGATGATAATTTACAGCCAAGCTTTTTAAACTCTCTGTTGTTCTGAGCTGCAGAGCTTCTGGAAAGCAGTGCCTGGCTGTGCCAGGCCCAAGCTGGGCTGCTCCGGCACGCCAGGGCCTGGGTTTCAATCACCCCTCTGCCTTGCAGCATACCTCCTGGAGCCAGCCCTAAGCTGGCAGGACCCAGCCCACACTCCCTGGGCAGATTTTCCTAATCCCCAGCAGAGACTGACCTGCAGCAGGCACTTTTTACAGCACTTCTGAGCAGCCTGGAGAGCATTAACTCTTCCAGCCCTGGTGTGACCCAAGTAGTTTCATCTTTGTATTGGCCTCAGCTCAAAGGTGGGCTTTGCAGCTCTTGAGAAACATCAAACCACCAAAAGGCAGTTCTGTTTGGATCAGAAGCAAACCCAGCTGTACCCCCCCCCTCCACCCCCAACAGTGTCCCAGCACTTCTAAGGAGGCAGTGAGCCTGACGGCTGATACCTGCCAGCTGGGGCTCTGGTCCCATGGGAGCAGAGGGGCTGGAAACCTCCAAGGACATCTTAGCACTTTCAAGCTCCCTTCTGCAGCTCAGGGTTCAGGGGCCTTGGGTGGGGGGGCAGGGGGAAGAAACTGGGGAAGCCTTTTCTCGCCCTTGCAGGCATAGATGCTACAGCGAAATGTTGAGATGCAGCATGCCAAATGCGCAGTAGTTGGTGTCTTGTTGCAAGGGGTTTAGCATATGCTGCTGACCAGCTTTTGCTGGTAATGCCCCTGTCTGCAGGGTGCAAGCACTGCCAGCACAGCTGCCCATGCAGTGTTCAGGTGTGCAATGGAAGCCCCGCTCTGCCTTGGTTGTGTGTTTTCAGCAGGGGGAGACTTGGCATGGTCCTCTGCACCTGCCTCGCTGACATCAGCAGGGCATGGCCCACTGTGCCCTGGCACACTGACCTCCAAGCTGATGCCCCACTGACACAGCACCATGACCTCGACTCAGTTGCAGTGTGTGATTGCTGCCCTTTCTCTGCCCAAACAACCGGCTGGGCTGGAAAACTGCTGCTGCGCACTGAAACTTCATGCCACAGAGTTCACTAGCAGCACTCGCCACCAATGGAAGCATTATCCCAGGGACTTACCATGAGGTTTTTTTTTTTAAATCCTGCTGCAATGTCAGGCCTGACATCAGTCATACACTAGTCTCCTCCAAGCAGTTGCCCTGCACGCAGCTGTGGTTGCCCCAGCTGGCCACCCTGAATGGAAGCCACAAACACCGGTCTGTCACATTGAGGCAAAGTCAAATCAGAGTCAGTTACTGCTATATGCTTCTTGTTTTAGCAAGAAAGGCTGAGCTGTGTTGGGAGCAAGCTTGTGTCGGCCACGCCAAGTCTCCCTGTTCAGGGAGCTGCTGCACTGAGCTTGCTGGTTCAGCAGCTAAGTAGCCATCCGAGGGTTGAGTCAAGGTAACAAAGAGCAAAGCTCCCCATTTCCCCACTGCTTGCATGCCTCGCCCTTTGAGCAGCTTCCAGGTCCCATAGGACACATGCGGCTGTGACAGGGCACAAGAAGCCATTCAGGGCGAGCGAAGCAGCATGCAGAGAGCAGATGCCTCCTGCTGTCCTGGCATCTCCTTGTATCAGCCATGCTGCTTTGCCCAGGCTGCTCCCAGCGCTGCCAAAATGTGCTGAATATGGGTGAGGAAGGCAAATGAGGTTTGATGGGGAGGTTTGTTCAACCTCATCTTTACCCAGCCCGGGCAGACTCGGGGCTTGTGCTCTTTCAGGGTTGCACAGCAGCTCAGCGCTGGCTCCAGACCTCCTCAGCTGACCTGATATGCTGTCTGTCAGCTGGTCCCTGCCAGCACCAGGCTCCTTGCAGCAGAGTCACACATGGTTAAGCCGTGGTCCCCAACTCAACCTCACTCCTGAAAAGATGCAGCATCACAGGATGCATGGGCCTTGCTCACTGAGGACCCTGATGACTCAGAGTCTTTTAGAGCGTGCTGCTGCAGGACTGAAGAGAAGGTTACACCTCCTCACGAGCAGAGGGGGAGGCAAAATCTGCCTCTCAGCTTTTACCAGCATGCCCCATCCCCGTTCTGGCCAAAGGCCTTCACGCGCTTTTCCCTTGCCACCCAGCATCTGAGCCTTGCAGTGCTCTCAATTCATTTGCAGGCACCTTGGCGTGAGGTGCAGCCACTCCTGCAGGCAACACCACCACCCTTCTCACTGATAAGAGCGAGTCCCACTGGGGATGGCTGGACCTGTGACAGGAAGGCCACAGCAACACCAGCCCAGCTGCCAGTGGCTCTGGGGGACTCCATGAGCCTCATGGTTACTCTGCTCTCCCATGACACCACTGCGCCCATGGGACATCCTGCCTAGACAGTGGAGCAAGGAGGCCAACATTCCTGCAGCTACAGGCATATTTATGGAAATGTCTAGCTGCTGCCTTAGCCACTGACCCATACAGCCTCTCCTCAAGCTCCCTGTGGGCATCTTCCGTCCAGACTAAACTCCTATGCCTGAGTGTCTTCACAAGATAAATAAGCACCCCACCAGGGAGAGGAGATGGCTTCTGCCTCATCAAGAAGGAGGCATGTAGGGTCTAGACATACGGGTACAGCATCACAGTAATCTCAGATCCCTGGAGCTCAAGTTTGGATCAGATCCCACCCCAGTGGCCCCTTTCCTGAGTCAGGGATCTGACAGGAGAGTCACATCTCTTTCTGTGAGAGATGGCCTATGTTCCACAAGTGAGCCTGAGGTATCTCATCTCCATGCCCCCAACATCAAAAGTGGCGAGGCCTGGATAAAGGTCTGCTAGGGACCTTTGTTTTTGCACACATGAGGCTAGCTCAGGAGGGGCCTCCCGGATGCCATGCAGTTATTTCCTCTCATTTTTGATGGGAATGAGCTTGCTGACCTCTGCTGGGATCTTTTCACCCAGGAGACAGAAGCTCTCCCCGCTGCCATGGGCTTGCCTTGGCAGCCTCATCTGCTGTCTTTCTGCACAAATCGAAGCTGCTGAGGTTAACTGGCTTGGGCAAGAGGTTGAGGCTCCGAAGCAGCTGTGCAAGTCCAAGGAAGCTACCTTCGTTTCAGCAAAATAATTAAACCTCCTCAAAGCAAAGGGCTTGGCTCAGGGCTCTGCACGCATTCTCAAGTGGCAAGGCCAAGTCAGCACCTCTGGGATGGTGAATCATTAAACGCAGAACCTGCGTGAAGGGGAGAGCACCCCTTGGCCACTGGACGGACAGGCTGAAACTGCCCCACAGTGAAAAGCAGCCTCTCCAAATTCCCCACCTTACGTCTCCTGAAGCTTAGCAAATTTGCTAGCATCTTATTCTTACTTGTACCCATATTTCTAAGCCAGGATAGAAATCCTGTTCCCATCTCTTCACTGCCTCTGTGGTACAAAACTTCAGGAGATAGTAGGACTAAATGAGAAAACTCTTTGCTGGAAGTTGGGGTTCAAAGAAACTCACCCAACTATCAAAGACTCAGCAGCGTTGGTAAAACCAGCTCAGAACTACCTGCTTCCTCTTTCTCAAAGGAATAGTGAATTTTAAAGCTCTGCCAAGCTCTTCCCTCCTCCCCCCATTCACTGAAGCTGTGTGTTGCATTTTCTTGCCTTGCTCTTCCTGAGCAAAGACATCTGCAATGAAAGCAGATCATGCTGCTTCAGTGTAATCAGCTCCTGCTGTTGATTCTCCACCTGAAATCACACAGCGCCTTTGTTTAGGCTCCACTGGCAAGAAGGAACAGATACTTCCAGACTCTGCCTGAAAAACAAAAAAGCATTTGTGACTCTTCCCTGACCAGGGTTTTACCTTTGTTACAGGGTTTTTCCAGGCTGCAGACACTATCTGATTTCCCCCCACTCCTCCCTCCCATCCTCAGCAATTACTACTTAAGCTGTTAAAACAAGCGTGGCCAGTCTGGTACGAAGTGGAAAATATGATCCTAGGGAAATGAGCAGGCAGGGGAAAAGGGAGGTCAAGGGGAGGTGGGCTAGGAGCAAGAGAGAAAAGGATTAGGCAAGGAGAAGTTTCACTCTCCCATGAAAGCAAAGGCTCCCAGCCTGCTCAGGCCAATGCCTCTAACCTCCAACACCACCTACAGCTGTCCAGGCTCCTCTCTGACTGCCACTGCCACTGTTGCTCTGAGTTCCCTTCCTTCAACCTGGAAGATACAAAGTCTTTGCAAGCCAAATGAAGGATGAACAAGCTTGAGCTCACTGCAACATCCTCTCCATTTCAAATACATCTCCACATCAGGCTTTCAGCTTGTTCCAGTGTGGGAAGATTGGTTAAACAGTGCCATCATTTAGGCCACGATGAAGCCATGGTACTTGGCCCACTCCAAATTCAGCCAGATGCAGACCCTGAAGGCGGCACCTCTCCAGCCATTTAAGGCCTTAGCTGTACTTGCAAAATCCATTCCTGCACATCAGGGATCACTACACAACTGCACACAAGCTGATGTGAATGGTAGTTTCCCAGAACCATCTATCTTAAATGTGTTTCAGGATGTTTTGTTTTCTTAAAGCTTCATTACCCAAAGTAAGCGATTCTTTAAGAATCAAGCTTTTAATAAGAAAGGTTTAACTTCCGCATGGGAAGAAGGGGAAACCCCCTAAAGCCAGCAATTATGACTAAGACCTAAAATCCCCAAGTCTGAGATTAGTTATTTTGTTGCTGAATGATCTGGAAGTGTCAGCATGCATCTAAGCAGTCCCAAATCCACAATCCTGCTTTGAGCAGAACATTTCCATTTCAAACTTCCCAGTCCACATGACATTGATGTAACATTTCCAGCTTTTGAGTTCAAAACAAAAAAGGCTTTAATTTATATAAAACAAAATCATGTATAATCAGTTGAACAACATTGACTGTACAAAGGAATAAAAAGAAAATAAAAGGACAGTTTAAAAAAAAAAACCCACAATCCCATAGGAATGGTACAAGTGTTGGAGAGCAGCTAAAGACTAGTGTTGATATCAGACACAAGAACCTTTTTCTTTTAAATTACTAAAAAAAAGAAAAAAAAAAAACACCGAGCATGGGTCTTTCATTTCAATCCAGAGAGGATCTATTGAGATTTTATAGGGCAAAATCCACTGTGGGCAAAAGACATAGGAGGTGTCATTTGCTTCAGAGCAAAATCAAGCACAGGTAAATAAAGTTTTTTTTCCTAGACATGGAGTCTGGCTACTGTGGAGGCAGGCGGCCATGTGTGGCCCTGTGTTGCCCAGAAGTTTTTCAGGAGAAGTCGCCTTTTGCAGTGCTTGAGGGCATCACCTGTTGGCCATATATCCCTGGATTCCCGGGCTGCTGAGCCAGTGATTGTCTTCTGCTCCATGTTAAGTGATGGGAAACAGGTGCCAGTCAGCCCAGACAGGTTCTAGAAATCCCCCGGCCTCCACACCACCAAGCCAAAATTGGCTACAGCTTTGCTCTTAAGCCAAATCACTACTACAAAGGATTCCTCTCCTCCTTGCCTGCCCCCTCCCTTTGGGTTTAATTCCCTCCTCGCTCATTTGAGCTGAGCAATAAAGCACACTAGAGACAAGCTAAGAAGTCCACCCTTGGAATGCATTTTGTTTTAAAGAGCAGGGAAGGGAAAGGCTCCTTCATTTCCTAGGCTAGTTTAGAAGAAAGAGGAAGTGCCCTGCAGAGGGGATGTATCAGCCTAGGATGTGCCCCCTCCTGCCTGCTTGAACAAAACGGGTTGTCAGCCACGCAAGAACTGCTGCAGCTTCATTCTGCCCATGCCATGTAACAAGCTGTTTTTGAGGGGGGCAGAAAAGCAAGTCAAGGCCTTGAGGAATTGTTAGTAATGGGAGGAAGATGGCAGCACTGTACAGGTTGGTCTCCTCGGTAAAGAGGAGACTGGCCCAGCATAATGAAAAGCAGTTCACTGAGATCTGAAGGCCATGAAAGCTACTCACAAACTAACTGTCCTGACTGCCTACAAGAATCTGCCAACATAACTAGAGCCTGGCAGTGGGACCAAGCTATCTTCTGTAAAAAGGTCTAGATTTTTTTTTCCCCCTCAAGTTTCCAGGAGAATTTCCAGCACAAATCAACACCTTACTATGGGACTAAAGCGAGGGAAGCACATGCCCTTACATGACAGATCTTCCCCCACAACATGCATATATCTCAAGATCTTGTCACTGAGCATGCTTTGCTCTCTCAAATCCAGGAGCAGTACTACAGACAAAAGCAGTTTGCCCTTCCTGATTTCCTACCAGAGCCACATGAGAGCAGAATGCATTTGTCACTTAATGCAAGCCCACGGTTTGTGCAACTGCTCTTTTCCACACCAACTGTTTTCAGTTTTCTTATTCCAATAGGGGCTAGCTTTCCAGTCCCAATCACTGCCTGCTCCTTCACACTCCAGTAGGAAAAGCTGGTTCTCTGCTTTCCTCACTTTCATCTAAGAACAGAAGCCACAGCAACAATAGCTTAGGCATAAGGAAGAAGAAATAAGCCAGGATTCAGGGGCCTCTGTCTCCTGGGCTGGTGACCTTACGATCTGGAGAGCAGGGGGTGCACCCAGACAGCTGTATGGAGATGCAGGACTGCAGAAGCTGTGCAGCCATAGGGGATAGATTCCACACTTTTTCTCTGCTTTAGACTTGATGCTTCCACTCTGCTTCTCAATCCTTGATCAGCTGCACATCAGAAAATGTGAACACTGCATCAGTTGACTGTGTGAGTTCTAACCTCAGAGTTGCATCTCTCTCCTGCCTTACCATCCTCCCCCCAAATTCACATCCTTGGTCTCCACTCTGTCCTTCAATTGATTTAAACACCACCCCTGCCTACTTGCAATCTTTAGGGAACAATAACAATAAAGTAGCTTGGATTATTTAACACAAATTATTCTTTCCTTCTGCATATGTATTATTAAAAAAGTGGGACAACTGAAAGCATCTTAAAGCATTTGTATGTTTTCACCCTAAAATTCCTCACTTCTCCCCTTTTGCTAACACTGGAAAAGTTAATCCAATGCTTTTATTTACATGGCTTCATAAAATTTTCCCTGACTGCTTTTTAAAAAAAAAAAAACACCTTTAAAAAAAACAAGTTATATGTGTGTGTGTATGTGTGTATATATATATACAGCATGTTGACATCCTGGTTGAAACTGTCATAAGTCCCCTGCCCCCATTTCTTTTTTTCCTACATCCAACAATCACTATTGCACCAGCTATCTGTTCAGGAGTCCAAGAGTTAAAGTTGCAGCACAGACTCTCTTTGCCTACTCCCTTAAGCCTCTCAATCTTCCATTAAATCCATTTCTCTACTGAGACTGGATGAGCTTTTTCCCTTTCCCTCCCACCCCAACCCAGCAGCTGTTGAATTTTCCACCCCAGGCTGAGAGGTAAAGCCTAAAGCATTCTTAGAGGGGCACTTGGCAGACTCCTCTCCCTGCCAGTCCAATGAGATCCAGCCGGCACCACACTTCATATAGAAAACCAAACATGAGCACGTTCCCAGTCTTGTGTGCACCGTTGGAAAAGCAACCAAGGCCTATCCGAAAGGATCCAGTTGAAAAGGGTTGTGTGTGCAAACATCTGTACATCGGTGGGTAGGTGTGGACATATTAAGAAGCTCATGGTGCGTCCATCCTGCTAAGAAATCTTGCAGTTGTTGCGTGAGCAGTTCTGTGGGGGGCTCTGGGGTGGACGAATGGATTTGGATCTCTTCAAGCTGTTACCTTTGCTGCTGCTCCCACCCCCACTGCTGGCCAGAGAATATGACCGGCCATGCATCATCACTGCATTCATCCCATTTGCCATAGAGAAGGATTTCAGATGACTCTTGATGGTGACAGGCAATGGCAGCTTGTCAATGAGGTGAACTGGGGTGCAGGACACAATGGCTCGGCAGCACAGGTCCTGTAAGCTGAACACTGGTGAGAGAAAAGACAAGACGGTCAAGATTGCAAGGACAGGCTTCTTCCTACAACAATTCTTTATGCTGTGTAGTTCTTGTTTCTTAGAGAAGAAAAGCTAAGAGAAAAGCTAGGAGCCTTGAAGAGAGAACAGATTAGTTGGGAACCCTTTATTCCCAACTTTTTGTCCTAAATTCCAGGCAAGCTCAGCCTTTACAGCTTAGTGTTATTTAAGACTTCAGCTTTGGTGGCAGCACTGGGGTAGACACTACTGCCACTCCTCCTAGCACAGTGGACAGGATAGGTAGAGGCCTTGCTCACATTCCTGCCAGACACACTTTCTCAGGCTACCATTTGGCAACACTTTCTCAGGCTACCATTTGGCAACCCGAAGGAAAGGCCCACAGGAAGCAGGCAACAGGTTCTGTAAGCCCTGAGGCTGGACATATTCCCATTTTGGATTGGTTTGGCAAGAAGCAGCCAAGGAGCAGGCTCTATGCTGAGTGATTGCAGCAGCAAAGATCCCACAAAGCTAGAACAAGGCTCAGCCACTTGAGGCTTCCCAACGTCTTCTTAGCTCAGTACAAGACATGTGAATCTGCTCTGGGAAGTCTACTTGGATGGGATTTCCCAGCAACCGGCCACAGGAGGGCATGCTTTCACCTCCAGCCTGCAGAAGGCTGCAATCTGTAAAAGTCACTCTGCTATTCTAGAGCAGGCAGCGCAGGAAGCCATCAGTTAGAAATCCTGCCTCTGGAAAAGATTCAGGAGACATCTACAGCAAAGAGAATTTCACTTTCAAACCACATTGCTAGCTACCCACCTACACTAGCTCAACATAAGGCAAGCCTTCAGTGCAAAGCACGGTGTCACACAGCACCAAGGAACTTGCTGTCAGGATGCAACCCTCTACCTCTCGCATGAATGAGTGTCTGAATTGCAAATTCAGCCCAGATTGCTTCTCTCCTGCTCACCAGCCTTCCACAAGGAAGGAACAGTAGCATACCAACAAGGTCACGTGCAGTGATTTGGTGATGCAGGCTAGCTAATAGGATCTTCCCTTCCCCAATGAGCAGGAACTCAGGACCCATATGAAGGTAGACAACCCCACAGGTGGGCATATAAAACTCCTGCTGCTCAGTCTGTCAGTGGGGCACACTGCCACCTCCAGTCAGGAATGTGGGACCTAAAATTGTTTTACTTCAAATGGAACATGCTAAGAAACAGTATGGACTCAGCTCAATCCACCACACTGTGTGCATGACATGCTGGAACATTCCCCTGCACTGCTCCATGTCTGGAATAGGGATGCAATTTAGTCCCTTTCAACATCTTGTGCTGCCTTGGATTTGCTCAGCCTTCCTGTCTCTCTGAAGCAGGAAATACCAGCTCCAGCAAGGATGAGGACAGAGGTCCTTATGCTTGGATTCATCCCGCATAAACATTTGACTGAAGTACTTTTAAATTGTGAGCTTAATTACCCTCAGCCTCCACTAGAACAGAGAGAAGTGTAGGATGCTCCAGAGCAATTCAGAACCTAGATGTGCCACAATGCCCCCTGGAGCTGCCCATCCCTCACTGCTAGCTGCAGGGTTCCTGCAGTAATACAGGTAACATGGTGAAATGCCTCAAGCTAGACAAGCTGCACATGAGCCATAACATGTCAGGTGCTTTCAGATCCCACAGTTACTAGTAAACAAGCCTCCCACCTGGGGGGAGGCAGACAGCCATATCCCTCCATTTCAGCTCAGTCAGCTGTCATGCCTTCCCCACTCAGAGCATCTTCCCCACTACTGACCTCTGTTGGGTCTCCAGATCTTCTCCATGCCATGCCGCATGAGCACAATACGAGACAATTCTGTGAAGGATTCTATGACGTTGAAGTTGCACAGTGGGCTGACCTCAAAAAATGTCATGCAGTTCTTCTCCGCATAGGCCCGGGCCTGCTCTGTTGGTACTTGCCGCTTGAAGGCGAGGTGAAGCCTGTTTCCCACCAGGATCCGAGGGACACCCGGGGCATGCTTTAAACAAAAAAAACACAAAACACTTGCATCCAAGTATTCTGCTTATCTTCAAAAGCAGTGCAGGCGTAAGACATACAAGCTATTCTGTAATGATGAGTGACTGCCACACAAGCAGTACTAGATGAGAAAGTCTAAGTTATCCTCTCCAAAATCCATTTTAGAAGTAATTACCCTATGTTTCTTGGCTATTCCCAAGCTCTTTCATGCTACTCTGGATTTACATAGAAGTGGAGGGCAGGCACTTTTCCCCTTGCTTTGCTGATTAGTAGATTGCAGTGATTCTCCACTGCAGAGCCACTCCTATCCCCATCTCAAAGGTGCAACCTCCCAGGATTTTTAATCACAAACCACTGCACTCATGCATCAAGTTTATCTTCCCACACTACCATACACATTTACTCTTCACAGCCATAAGGGCCAGCAGCCCTAGCGAGTGAATGGTGCATTACCTACATATGTTCTTTCACTCAACTTACCTCATCTATTTCCTTTATCCATCGATCTATCCCATCAAACGACCAGCGATTAGTGATATCATACACCAAGAGAATTCCCTAGTAAAAGAAAACATGCAGTTAGGAAGTTGCATACTATGCAAACTAAAAGGGAGATGCATCTGAAAAGACAATTTCTATATTTAGAAACCAAAAGGCTAAGACACAGAAAGAACAATTCTCAATTTGCTCTATTAGCCCTAGCAAGAACACAAATATGCAGCAAGTCTGTACTAACTCGGATCCATTAGAGAGGGATTTACCCCCATTTCTAACAAATTAGCAGCTCTGGTAAAGGCAGCAATTCTGATTTGGGAGATGCTCAAGCAAAAACATTTCCAAAGCAGCAGAGTCTTTGCAAAGGAGGACCTGCCGCAGTGATTTTGTTTCAGATTTGTGACTAGACGAGTATATGTTTCGCACAACCTTGTTTCCTGCATCTGCATGCTAGTCCCATGTTGTTATTCCAAGCAGACGCAGGAAGCAAGGCTGTGCAAAATATACTCGTCCAGTCACAAATCCGAAACAAACTTACTGAGGCAGAAACAGGCTTTTTCCTTTCCCCTTATGCAGAACAGCTACCTTAAATAGCAGGATGGTAGCAGAATCTGACAAAGTTAATAAAGCACACCCATCTTCAGCACATTTTTCCTCTCCTCCACAACCTCTTTCATTTGGTGTTCCTTTTACTGTCAGGGAAGGAGTTGAGTGATTTCAGTACTCAAGGTTAACAAGAGTCTAAAGGATTAAGAACTCAGGACCAGGGTCTAAGCTAGACTGCTGAAGGCTGGCAATGCTGCTAATTGTCAGTGTTGCACTGGCAGAAAACAAACATAGCTACAGTGACTCTAGCAAATCAGGCAACGTAAGAGCCATAGCAGATCAGATCAAAGCTCTTCCAAGTGTACAGTCCTGTCACTGATGGAAACCAACTGCTGGTAGCTGCAGTGTTACCTGAACAGACCAGGTACAGGTCTGCTCCCCAGAACACTCTCCCAGCCCTCAGTTTGTGTGCCCATGTGCACGTGTGTGTGTGCACGCACATGAGAAAGAGGAGGAAGCCTGCCCTGTAGGAGACACAGCTCAAGATGATAGTCAGAACATGAATTGTAAAACTTTAAATGGTTAAAGATCATCCAGAAGAAAGATGCAGTGGTAAGCCACAGGCAGCCGAGCTGTAAAGGCCCCCTTGCCACCACCCACTGCCAAAGAAATCTGCCAGGTCCTCAGGAAAGGAAGCCGCTCAGGCATGAGGCTTACCCGTGGCCAGCCTGCCGCTAGTGGCTGCTTGACAGCCAACACAGCAACTCTGCTTTTAACTCCTATCAACTACCGGGAAGGGGCTAAAGCCTCCTTCTACCCTGTGTTGCAAGGTGGAATTTCCTCTTTCATTCTACTTAGCCAACGGTATAGTATTTTCCAATGTCTTTTTCCTTTTTTCTTTCTTCTAAGAAGAGATGTACCTACTGCACACTCAGGCCCACATTTATCTTCCCTAGGCACTAAGCATCTCTCTCAAGGTATAGCACAACAGTGTTGATGCCTGGGACAGGCACAAGTCAACACAGGGAAGTTTGAGTTTGCACCAGTGATAACACGCAGCAGCACCTCCGAGGGTGCTCCAAGTCTAGCTAACAGGCCACTCAGGCTCACAGCAACACCTACTGGGTAAGCTTTTTTTGATTCAAAGTATTTCTGAGGACAGCCACATGGAAACTAGGCTATGTCCGGCCTTACAGGTACACAAGTTGATGCATCAGGAGTTACCTCTTAGTATCAATGGTAAGGCACATAAAGGACTTGAATCAATTGTCTCAAGGAGCAGCTAGTGCTCCCATTGTTTTTCCAACCTGTCATTTCTCTTTTCTTTTATGATCAAGAACATTGCAAAATCATAATTGAAGATACCCAGAAATAGGAACTAGAGAAGAGATGAACTCACATTGCTGAGAACTCATATTGCAGCACAGCCAGGCACAACATAGAGCATCATATGGAAAATAACCCAGTAGCAACAAGACTGAGCTAAGGGCAAAACAAACCAGTTCAAGTTACAAGACTCCAGGGTGACAGATCATTTAGCAGCAAGTTTGGCAGAACCAGTCTTTTATTAATCTGAGGTGTCCTCCAGGAACAGTCATTCCTACAGCAAACCCCCAGTTCAATCAAAGTATATCTTAAGTTGGCAAAGGAATGTCTCATTTGACAGCCTAGTCTTCTCCAGCTGAGATACCTAGAAGTAGCTCAGTGAAGGAGGGAGGTGGTAACCTGCCTAACATTCATCCTGGTAGAAGTCAATGTCCCATCAAGTATCCTAATGTTCCAGTAAAGTTACTGCTTTATTCATTTAAGCAGAAGATCTACTACCCAGAAAAGAAACTCAATCCACTCAGTCCTCCTGTAACACAGCTTTAAATTATTTGCTGCTGCCAAAGCCCATGATGCACTGGGAAAACTGAGAAACTGTGTACAGAGATGTGATATAAGTTTATAAAAAATGATCATAAAAATGAGATTTGGAGTACACTGGAAAGAAATATCAGGGCATTTGAGCCCTCATAATAGTGTCATGTCTTAGGTTGGCACTTAACACTTTCCCACTGTTTAGGAAAACAGTCTTTCTTCAAGCTATACTGGCACACCCAGCATACATTATTTTGTTTCCTGTTTTTTCAGAACTTCTCTCAGAGCAAGTAGCTCTTACAAAGCCTGTCCACTTTCTATAGTTTCTTTTAATCTTTGTCAAAAAGAGTTCTGATTCTAGAGTGTTAGCTTCTTCCTTCTTGTACATCACTCCCCTCTATGCAGTTGCTTTCGAAGTGAAGCTTGGCCGTTTTGTCCTCATTTACCTTTCTAATATCTACTCATCTGCATTTTTGCCATTTGCAGAAAGGATAAAACATACTAAAAGAAGGGGAAAAGGTAAGAAAGGCAAGTCTTCCATGGTGGGTTGTTTTTCATTTTTGATAGCTCAACATAAAAAACAAGCACAAAGTTTTGGTTAAGGCTGTTTTGAGTGACCTGACAGTAAGTTTTCATACAAACAGTAAGCAAGTAGATTATGCATATGTGTATGTGGTGGGGGGAACAGACTGATCTTAAGCTTCTTCCAGGGAAAGCTTTGAGTTCATTCCTGTCCCATAATTTTTTTGGGCTGTCATTTCTAAAACAGTTAAAACAAGACTTCATACTCGAAAAGAATCAGAGGGCAAGGTTTTTTTTTTTTTTTTTGCTTTTTGGAGGAAAGAGTTTTGGTTTCTTCTAGGTCTAGGTAGAGGAAAAAAGTAGAAAATAATTATCTTTTGTTAACAAAAAAAACTGCAAAACTAAAAACAGTACTTTTCAAGAACCCAATCATGAACTACCCACTACTAGGTTAGGGATGTTTTGAAAAAAATTGAGATTCTGAGCTTTATTTTTATTTTTGCTATATGAGTTTTGACCCCTAGCTTCCAGGGCTGCACATGTGCATGAAAAGCTTCAGTCTACTTGATGTTACTGAAAGAGTGCATGACAGCCAGGGAATGATAAAGTAGAAAGAGTTTGATGACCCTTTCCAAGGCATAAACAAATTGTGAACAAGTTAAATTAAATCTACTTTATTTCTGGACTGAGGTTCCTTTGGCCAACAGAAACACACCCAAGACCTAGTTTGTCAAGATCGCTTCTGCCAGAAATATGCTCTAGGAGAAGAGCGT